ACACACATATATATATATATATATATATATATATATATATATATTATCGATAATGATGCTCATTTCTTGGGATGAAAGCAAAACGACTCGCATATAACGTTGAGTCGGATAAAATCAGCCTTTATAAACAGATTATAGTTCATAATCGGTCGTCAAGGGTCGTCTTACGAATGGCCTGGCAACATAATTCTTCCATTACGAAAGTTCCAGAGGCACCGAGTGCCAATTGATTGAAACAATCTATGCATTCCAGCTACACGTGATGTAATTGAACAGTTCACAGACCGACTAACAATGATAATTTAAAACACAAAACGTATTAATACGTTGTCTTATAGATCTATTCATATATCTATATATTTATTTATATACATGTTTGTTGTATTAATACAATGTTTGTATTAATATATGTAAAATTATACAAAAAAAATAAATATGTTAAAAATGCTAGTTTAAAATAAAAGACAAAAAAAATGAATTATATTTGTGTTATAAGAAATATTTTAATGACAAATAAATGAAAATTTTATATGATAAGGATAATTAATATTTTAATGTAATATAAATAATTTTTATATAAATATTTATAATGGAGATATAATATTGTTCAAATAGTGAATAATCTTATAATAATATTATATATATTATAATAAAATATATTATAAAATATATATAATAAAATATATATTATAAAATAAATATATATAAAAATATATATATTATATTACTCAATATAATAATTATATTCATTCAAAAATAATTCATACAATTCATTTTTGCAAATTTTGAATTTTTTAAATTTTTTTTTATGATAAAATAAATAGTTTTTAATTAAATAATTTTTTTTAATTAAATATAATCTCACTAATTTATTAAATTATATTAAATTATATTAAATTATTTAAAATTTAAAATTATTTATTTTAAATAATATAATCTGATTAATTTATTTTATTAATTAAAAATATGAAATGTTTTAATTTATATATATAAATGTATATTCAAATATACATTTAATATATATTCATTTTATGCATAAAATTACAATTACTATAAAAAATCAAAATTTAATAAATATTACTAATAATAAAAATATTAATAGGTAATAATTATTAATAAAATATTATTATTAAACAAAAAAATTTAATATAATTTTATCCAAAAAAATTATATATTAACAGAAAGATATATATAGGTATTATAAGAGTAAATATAAAGATAAAATTAAATACTAAAAATTATGTAATTATAAAAAATAAATATAAAAATATATTATAAATAAATAAATATATATATATATAATAAATATTAAGAATTACATATATATTAATATTATGTGTAAATATGTAGTAATTTTAAAATTACATATGATTATAATAATTAAATTTTTGTTTTATATATGGAATATATTCATATTTGTCAATTTGATATCAATAAATTATCAATTATTATTACTTATTTTGATTTCAAATTTTTGCTAAATTCAGAAAGTTGATTAATTAATGAAAAATATAAATAACTTTTAATTTTCAATTTGTAATTTATTAATATATTGTAAAAATTATTAAATTTTAATTTTTAAAAAAAATATTTAATCTTCTATATCAATGTTTTTCGGATATTCGATTCGGATAAATTTTACCATTTCGTTTCATTTCGCAAAATTTTTTGATAAATTTATAGAATCTAAGAAATATTTTTTATAATCTATAAATATATATCATAATAGATTCAGTATTAATAAAACATTATTTAAAATAATATTTTCGAACGTTTTATATCGCAGTACAAATTCGGTTGAATCTGGAACCTAAAACAAGATTGAATAAAAAAAGAAAGCAAAAAAACTAGAAAATACATACATATGCACAAATATTAAAATTTCGTATACATTCAGAAGATAAGATTAAAACAGGATATGTCTGTAAGGTGGTATAAGAAAAAATAAAAAAGAAGAGAAATAAGAAATTGCAAACGAAGCATATGTTTAGTTTATGTTAGATCAGTTAGCTTGATAAAAACCGGGCAGTAATCAAATATAATGGGTTCCATTTAATCGGGGGTGGAAGGGGCGATCGCGCCGTTTCTTTTAAAGCGCATGCTTGCGAGTCTGCTCGACATTTACGTTTCAGCTACGAACGCGACGTCGAATATTCACTTACAGTATCATTTACGTCTACTTTAGCTATTAATTTTCTTTTATTTTTTATATCGTGAAATATTACCTCATAAGATTATACTTATTATTAATTTATATATCTTTTAAATCTAGAATATAATACTACTACAATCCACCAAAATTTAATAAATTTATAATAATTCTTAAACCTAATATTTCTGTGGAAGTATATTTTTTGTGGAAAAATTTTTTATAAAACTAATTCAAAACTGTTATTATTGGTGTAAAAATTTAATAACAAGCAAAATGGCTTTGAAAATTCGCGTTCAATCACCGAAGGTAAAATACACAGAAGATTGTATTGAAGCACAGTACGAGTATCAAACAACGAACGTTATAGAAGACGATACAAAATATACGGTAAGTATACCAGAATGTTCTTTTTTTCTATAAATTTTTCTTTTCGATTTTAAATACCATTTAAATTGTTTTCTATTATTACATTTATTAAATTATTAAATTAAAATATTAAAGGAAAAATATAGAATAAAAGAAAATATATATTTTTTTATATTTTTTATCCAACAATACACTGATCATTGAGCACGCGTGTAGGCACATAATATATACAGGCAGTATTTACAAATTTTTACTAAATTGAAAAAATTATAATCAAAATATTTTAATCTTAAATAAAAAGAATTATATTTACAAAACATATACTCGAATAATTTTAATTTTTCATACTTGTTTTTTTCCTTCATAGAAAAATATAATTTAAAATATAAAAATATAATTTCTAAATTATGAAAATTTATTTGTAAAAAAATTTTATAGTAAAATATCTTATAATTGATATAAAATATAAAATGATGAAAAAATTAATTAATTTAATAATATTTTTGCATAATAATATAATTCATTTGCATCAAATGATAAGAATTGTAATAATAATAAGAACTTTGAAAATTCCCGCTTGTAATGATATACATAGATTTTTTATTGTTTCATAAATTAATTGAAGTTATTGTTTGTATTATTGTTATAAAGTATTACTTAAAAACATTAATTATATATTTTATATATAAAAATAATAATATTTAAGATTTAAGAAGAAACTTATTGCTATTTTTTTTTTAAATATTTCTTCAGATTTCTTCAGATGAAGAAATTTTTTTTTTCAAATTTATAGGTTATATAAATTTTATATAATTTGTGTAAAAATTATAAATACATATTTAAATTATAATGTAATATAATCATGAAATATAAATATAAACGATTATTATTAAATAAATAAATTATAAATATGTTCATATACAAATTTTTTTATTAGGAAAAAAACATTGATATTTAATTTAATCAATACATTTAAGGTTGGAAGGCTTTTTTAGAAAAACTGTATAAATATTCAATTTTCAGATTTTGTACTTAAAAATTCTTTTTTAGGGGAAAGGAATATATTAAAAAATGAACAGCTGCTCAAACGCTATGATTTTAATTTTGGAAATGAATTTTTCAATTTTTGAAAAAAAATAAAGGTTCCTGTATTGTACACCATTGTGTAGCATAAAAAACCTTGGATACAAATATTAACAATTATTACGCGTAATATTATTTACTTTAAACACTTGAAAATAATATAATTACAGAATATAAACATATATATATATATTGTAATAGGTAACACCTGTATCAACAAAGCTATTAATTAGAACACAACTGAAAGTTCCAAAACTTGGATTAATGTTAGTAGGATGGGGTGGAAATAATGGCACCACTATTACTGCAGCATTATTAGCAAACAAACTTAAGTTAACATGGGACACAAAGAATGGCATTCAAAAAGCAAATTGGTAATTATGATTATTTGATAATAATTATAATTTAAAATTTCCTGAATTTCCTGAATTTAATTATTTATATAAAACTTTTATCCAAATTTCAGGTATGGTTCTTTAATTCAAGCATCCACTATCAGATTAGGCAAAGGAAACAAAGAAGATATATATGTTCCCATGTCTTGGATGCTTCCAATAGTAAATCCAGATGATATTCAAATTGATGGTTGGGATATTTCAGACATGAATTTAGCTGATGCTATGCAACGTGCAAAAGTTTTGGACATTAATTTACAAAAACAATTAGTAGAATATATGATTCATATGAAACCAAGAAAAAGCATATATTATTCAGATTTTATTGCTGCTAATCAGGTAAATAATATTTTTGATTAAATTTTCTTTAAAATTTTTTTTATTCTTATAAATAATATTATCACTATTGATTAATAGTTATTATTGAATATATTTGAAAAAATATATTTAAAAAAAGCAATTAAATATTAACAAAGAATCCATATTATATTTTTAAATTCTTTCAGGAAAAAAGAGCAAATAATGTTATTTCGGGTACAAAATTTGAACAATTAGAACAAATTAGAAAAGATATTGCAGAATTTAAAAATTCAAATAAATTGGATCAAGTAATTATATTATGGACTGCTAACACTGAACGGTTTTCTGAGATCATTCCAGGTGTAAATGATACAGCAGAAAATTTATTAAATGCTATTAAGAAAAGTCATTCAGAAGTTAGTCCCAGTACAGTTTTTGCTGTAGCAGCTGCTTTAGAAGGAGTAAGTAAAATTTATTATTTAATTTATTTTTTATAAAATAAAGATATTATTCTCAGTACTTATAATACAATTTATAGTAAAATTTATTGATATAATATTACTGTTGTTACTATTTCAGTGTACATATATTAATGGATCTCCTCAAAATACTTTTGTACCAGGAGCAATAGAATTAGCAGAAAAACATAAAACATTTATTGGTGGTGATGATTTTAAATCTGGCCAAACAAAATTAAAATCTGTGCTTGTAGACTTTTTAGTTTCAGCTGGTATTAAACCAGTATCAATTGTTAGTTATAATCATCTTGGAAATAATGATGGCTATAATTTATCTGCTCCTCAACAATTTCGATCAAAAGAAGTAATATATCAAAAAATAATATAATTATAATAATATAATAATATAATTTTAATATGATATATATTTATAATATTTCTAATTCTGTTTTCAGATTTCAAAAAGCAATGTTGTGGATGATATGGTACAATCAAATAAAATTCTTTATCAATCTGGAGAAAAACCAGATCATTGTGTTGTTATTAAATATGTTCCATATGTTGGTATGTAAAAAAGAATATATATATTATATATTCTAATATATATGTATCAAATATAGAATGTAGAGTTATTATTTTATTTTTTATTAGGTGATAGCAAACGAGCAATGGATGAATACACATCAGAAATATTATTGGGAGGACATAATACAATTGTAGTACATAATACATGTGAAGATTCTTTGTTAGCAAGTCCAATTATTTTAGATTTGGTTTTGTTGGCAGAGATTTGTTCACGAATTACCTTCAAAATAGCAGATACAAAAGATGAATTTACTGGATTTCATAGTGTACTATCCATACTTTCATATCTTTGCAAAGCACCATTAGTACCACGAGGAACACCGATTGTAAATGCATTATTTAGACAACGAGCTGCAATTGAAAACATTTTAAGAGCATGTCTTGCATTGCCACCTGAAAATAATATGTTACTTGAACATAAAATTAATTTCAAAAATCAATTATGAATTTAAGAAAAAAACATTGTGTTTTAAACTTTAAAGGGTATTATTTGCAAAAAAGGAACGAACAGTATTATTAAAGAATAATTTTAAAAAAACAGTAAAAAATTAAATATTTTAGAATTTATATTATTTACAAAATGAAATTTGTTAGTGTTTAAAAATCACTTTCATATTTCCACATTTATTGTTACGAAATTTATATTATTAGCTATAAATAAATATTATTACTTAATGACAAATATAAAATTATTATATAGTATTTGATGTGCGAGAATGTTGTTTATTAGATTTCATAACATTTTATAAAATGTAATTGTGATATATATTTCTTTAAACATGACAAAAAAATATATTTTTACAGTAAATAATATTTTGAACAATAAAATTATTTTCAAATCAAGATGGGGAGAGAGTCTAATTTTATATATAAAACTTAATTTAGTTTCATATAAGAAATTCCTGTAACTTACTGTATAGTTCCTTATATTTTTTGTTACAATTTAATTTAAAGTTTGATCTCATTCTCTAAAAGATATGAAAATATTTTTTTGAGTAACAAAATATATAAAAAGAATGAAAAATGTTGATGTGAATTTTCATTTTGAAAATACCCTTATCTTTTTTAGATGTTATCATTTATAAATGAAAATGTCAATAATACCTTTAATATATATATATATATATATATATATATATATATATATATATATATATATATATATTATATATATATATAA